CGTGGTTGATGTTCATTGGGTGTTCATTTTGGTATAAACAAGGGCAATGCAAGCCTCCTCGGTAACTTCAAATCACTTCCATTGAGAAGCTGCACCAATCGGTTGATCATCCTTGTCTCTCTTGACCCAATTGTCTTTGCCAAATTCCCAATAGCTTTTATGCGAAAGACTTGGAAGTTTGAGTTTTCAACATTCTCAGTGATCTTCAGTAATAATTGATCAGCAATATATTTCCAAGTGGGAGAATTAGGACTGAAGGCGCATCTTCTCAAATCAGTATCTTCCTCTGCCACTTTCATGATCACCATTAATGCAAGGACAGAATAAAGTTGAGCATTTTCGGAACCCTTTTCCAGGAGCACACCGAAACTATATAGTGATGTTGATCTGCGAGGCTGCGGCAAATGGCTGAGTTCCCCTCCGCTAGTCTGCAAAGGGCTTTGGCTGCCATTGCTTTCATTTTTTCCTTGGTGGCTGGGTCTTCATTAGCATTGGCATTGTCATTGTCATTGCTATGGGTTTTGCTGCTATGCACTTCAACAGTTTCGAATGCAAGATGGCCGATGAGCAAGCGGACAACATCGTGCAGCGCAAAAACATCTTGCAATTCGGGGTGTTGATATGAGAGCATTGACACCGCCTTGGCCACTGCAACCTGAACTTTCAAGGAGCCTTCTCTGAGGATTTTCGCAAACACTATACATATATCCGCATGAAGGTGTTCGACGATTTCGCAGGAACATCCCAGCCACCCAAGGGTCCTGGCAGCGTTCTCTTGGCCTTCCATTGGACCCTCCTCCATCAATTTCAACAAGGCTTCCACTCCACCCTCCCGGATGATCAACGTCATGTACCTCTCGTGGTCCCTGGCAAGCTGACCGAGTGAAGCTGCAGCACTACATCGAGCTTGGACGGATACAGCCGGGTGATGAAGAATTGCAATCTCTTCCCAAACAAGCCACAGAGTGGGGTCGTTCAATAACATTGGAGGCCGTCTCAAGTCCTCGTCCGGGGGCTCGGCCCTCCAGAAACGGATCAGCCAAGACACATCCCCGATTGAAGCGTCTAGATGCGCCGAGATTTCGAGGAAACAAGTGACGGGGATGAAGGTGGAGAACCGCTTCTTGATGATCTTGATAATGATGCATTTGGGATGCTTGAGCAGCCGGAACAGACACCTGTCGAGGGTTACTTCGATTTGGTTGATGATCGCACGCCGGGGCGATCATAGGTGCCGAGGTTGGAGCAGCTGAGTTGGCCGAGAAGTCCCGCCAGCTCTTCAGACTTGGATTTAAGCTGGTGGGGGATGAAGGTGTGGTCCCTTGATGTCACAACGGCCCTGTCCAAAGCCTTTGTGAATTGGTCAGTCAGTTGGATGAGCCTACCCAATATTTGCTTCACCATCTCTGGCCTGGTTTTATGCTTCGCCGCGAACAAGCTAGAAACCGTTTAATCCCTTGTTCATAATCATCAGTTTGCACGCACGTCATATCCTAGTATGCGGTCAAAGACATGACCCAAACAAACCACACCCGCCAATATCGTATACAGTATACATACATACACACTTGTATGATTTTGCAACAGTAGCCCGTGTGGGGCCACAAACACGAAGGTCTACACAACAGTTGAGCTAACTTCATGCACTCATGCATCCACTAGCAACTGAACTGATGCTATCCTAGCACATGATGTTTATGCATCCCCAAGCCCCTCGATTCAAGCGGGCGGACGAACGAATGGATAGTTGAGCAAAACTTATTGCATAAGGCAATTATTATCTTATCGCAACCAAAAAATTTAACTTGCATGTAGATTTATAAGTTAGAGGAGGATACACTCTGGAAAAATGCGGATCAATCAATGGACTCAAAGTGACAGCAAAACTGAGACCAACAGCTACCATTCAAAGACTGAAAAATGACAAGGGCAATTCAGGCATGGCCAAAATAATCACATTGACAACTAAAAACGGAGAGTAAAACTGTCGCCGTACGTAACGTAACAATATGTCATATAAAATTCAATGCAGAGATACATTTCAATGTTGCACATTGTTTTTGCTAGAAAGCCGTCCGTTTTTATCAGAAGCCCTCTCAAGCAGATGATAAAGATCAATGTACTGGTACGAAAACAGAGCTTTATGACCTGCCGGACAAACATTGATCCAAAAGTCAATCTAGAAGCTTAAAGGTCACAACCAGAGTAGAGAGAGATAAGCACTACTAGTGTTTGGAGAGAGATTGCATCTTCCAACACAAGTTGGCAACGGACATGAACTGGGTGTATTCAGCAAATGAAACTGCCATTGAAAGACGACTCAGGATATGCATCATTTCTCCTCCTCTTTCGATGCTTTGTCTTCATGCTTCTTCTGATCAGGCTTAAAAAGACAACATAAATAAAACCTAATCAGAAAATATTGTGGAGCTCATACTCTGGCACTATTGGTTGGTACCACTAAAATGTTTATCAGATACCACTGCTATGCATGCCAAACTATTAGTTCAAATTTCAATCGCACAAGAAAAAATTTCATGTTATTCTAAGAAATTCCTTTCAGGATAAAGAGCATGAGGTCAAATTTCTGTTACACATTAACCCATGATTATGTTTGGTAGTGCAGATAAAGCATCCATGGTTTTTTCCAAGTGAGAAAAGTGTTATCATGTGTAATTGGTGCAAGTCTGTATATGGTCAAGCCAGTAGCTAATATAACTGGTCCACAAATTAATTGAAGCATACCGAGCGCTGCTCAGTTGGAAACACAGCAAAAAGTGTTCTCATGAGTAATTGGTGCAACTCTGTATATGGTCAAGCCACTAGCTAATATAAATGGTCCACAAATTACACTAAAGCATACCGAGTGCTGCTCAGTTGCAAACGCAGATAAAATGCTTATAAAAATACTGCTCGTATTAATGTTCCTAGAGATAGGGATGGCCTAGTAACTTAAATGAGCATTCATTTTAGAATTTATTTTGGCCGGAGTAACAGAGTAACTTAAATAACAAGGTAACTTAAGACCTAGATAACTTACTATATACTGCCTATAATTATTTTCTTCTATTCATAAATCATAATCAGAAGTTTGATAATCTCACCTCTGACTGGTTTTGCATGGAAGCAAGCAAATCTTTAACTGAAGGATCATTTGGGTCAACCCCTGGAAGCTGCAGAAGCATTTAAATATCATGTCATTAGTTCACTAAAGGAGATACTTTTAGGCAAGGATGGAAGACACAAAAGATTGGTCAGCCAATAGTTTACTCATATCTTTCTGGCTACCAGAATCTTTTGCACTCTCCTGCACAGACAACTGAAGAGCTGCAAGCACCAAATATTAGGAATTAAAGCCAAATACCTACTTAGAGAACAGTCATATTGTCAGTGGTAAATTTTGGAATATATAAGCAAGGAGTACTATATAAATTGAATTCAAGAAAGAACTTCTATCCATAATGTGCTTAGAATTTCAGACTTTCTGGCAATTATTAAATGATCAGAGCGAAATGATAAGCAAGGTGAATTCATATAACATTTTCTGAAATGAAATGACTCAAATTGAGGCACCATGTGCTTAACAATGGTCAAAGCTTGCATTTTTCACAATAGCACCTTAAATTTATTTCCCATTCCCAATGAAAAATTGCCACCAACTAACGTTGTTATTCAACCAACGCACCCATAGATGAATGAAGTATGGTCAAATGACCAGAAGAACTCACCTAGAGCCAACTCTGGATCCTCTCCAGTTGCCTCAGACATATCTGCATCTCGCATCTCATGGCTGGAAGCGGGTTCATCCATCGACATTGCAAGGGCCTGTTGTAGCAGAGCATTCTCATCATCCTGTTGTAAAAAATATGGTCAGTTTACATCGCACATTGGTTTTCTATCGAGCTAAGGACAAAACCGAAGATAAAGCACAAGAACGAAAGGCATTTAAAACATAAAATATATATATATATATATATATATATCAACAAGAATTCATGGGTAGAGCGAACTGCATGGAGGACATATTTTATTTGTAATGCTACACCCACCCCGCAACTCCTTATTTACAAAATAAAGAAGAAAAAGAAATGAAAGAACGAAAGAAATGACACTGACCATGAAATCATTACTCTTATTATCAGCTTCAGACGTTCCAGCACTGGCACGCTCCGTCATAGTTGCATCTTGTGAGCTGGATTGGGCTTCCCCTCCTTTTTCCTGTTTGGAAGCATCCTCAGCAGCCTTTTTAGCAGCTGCTTCTTGTCTGGCCCTCTCTTCTTCCATTGAAACTCTAAGAGCAAGGGCAAGCTCAGGATCCAGGTTTGGATCTACACCAAAATCAAAACCAGAGACACCAGCTGCTGCTGCTGCTGCCGCAAAACCACTCCCACCTTCCCCATCCCCGGTAAAGATGGGTGTACTGCCACAGGAGAAGGGAAAAATATAAGTTATACAATACATCTAAAATGGGTAAATTTCATTAATGTTCCATCAATTGTATTCTGTATCCTATATTAGTCTTTAAACTTTAAAATTGGCGCTTAACCCCTCAAATGACAATGGTGTTTTGGTTGGTTCAAATCCTAACTTTTGACCAATGTGGCCTATAACTAAGAATTGTGATGTGCCACTCACATGAGCACTTCTGTTTAAAAAAAGATACACAAAAATAAAGATTTGAACCAACTAAAGACACTTTTTTACTCAAGGGATTAAGTTTCACTTAAGGTTTTTTTTTTTTTTTTTCCTTCCATATAAAAAAAAGTGCAAGATTTAAAGCTCGGGTCGGTAATATGAAATGCAAGTTAAAGGTCAGAGATATTATCCCAATTTTTAGTAATTAAAACATCAAATACTAAATTGAGGAATCAAACCAAACACTGACCTTATAAGTACATCAGAAAGAGCACTTGGACCAGGTGGAACATGAACAATGTGGCTGGTGTCGTTATTGTTCACAGTCTTAAACAGGGCTTCTAGCTTCTCTGACTTCTCCTCATCTTCTTCACCAAAATTGACGATATCGAGAGCTACACTGTTCTTCTTTAATCTCCTTCCGATTATCTCCAAAAACTTTTTGTCATGTTTGACAGTACTGACAACACATAAGTCAAAGTTATTAACATGTAAGAACTAGCAAATAATAAAACTAAAAGACAAGCATGACGAGGTATTATGAACCTTCCAGCAAACACAATAATCCTTTGTTGCTGTTTCTTGTTCTGGCGATGTTTAAGGGCCAATTGAGCCACCTGAATGCCAGCTGCCAGGTTCATCTCACCACCTATTTCTAAACCTAAATTTCCAAAAGGAGAAGAAATATCAATGAGGAAATCTATTATACACAACAAGCAGGAGTTAGTAACAAGGGGAATGAGAACTAGTAACAAGGGAAATGAGAACATTGACAAAGATAGTTTAGTCCTACTTTCAGGATCATTAGTTTATTTTATCTTGTAAGTTTCAACACACTTCACCTATTAAAATAAATAAATAAAAAAATGCGCTGAAATGCTGGATAATAGAGGCGCAAAATAAATGAAGATCAATAAAACACTTCAACTTCTTTCCTGAGACCAACATTCTTATCACTTTTGTGAAGAGATTTGCATATAGTTGCTATTTTCTTAGTTACTTCACTGTTTCAAAGTTCTGTCAAGCATAAATTGACAAAGACACTAATAAATCCATTAACCTTGCGTTGATTCTCAAGTAGTAGTGTCTCATTGTTAAAAGAAGGTTATTGGGTTGAACATTGGGTGCATCAAAACATGCTAAAATCTTGCTCATGTGAAGAGATCACAGATACGCATATTGGCAAGCTAATACCAAGTACCAGAACCTCTGGAAACAAGAAAGATACTGAAACACCAAATTCTTGGAACAAAGGCAGCAATAAGAAAAATATGACTGCACTGCACTTGGTGCATCTACTGACCTCCTTCAGCCACAAAGACTTCAAGCTATATCAGAATATAATTATTTCCAGCCATACTTCCTTAATTTATTGAATTATTAAATGCATCTAAAACCAAAGCTATTTCCGTCTGTAAACAATAAATCCTACTTCCACAACTTACTTAAATTAGTTCACACATAACAGAAAAAACTCTTTTTTTCTTCAGGAAGTTCTGGTATTAGAGAAAGTGCCAATATTGACAACAAAATCATTACAAGGAGTTGAATACTTCCATCAAATTGAAAAATAATAAACTTCAATAACACTACAACTTATGTGTTTGCTTGTTTGTTGGATATAAAAGAAAAAAGCAAGTACATGAACTGACCATGCATGCATGCCAGAATCTTGCCAAGATCACTAGTAGGAGTGACCAAAACGCGAACACCTTTCCCTGCCATGGTGAGAACTCCTACTGTATTCTCTGGATTAGACTGCATACCGGGAAAAAAAATGAATTTACTTTAAATTACAAACCATAAGCAACCATTATGATCTTATATCCGAAGCAACAACCGAAACCCAACCACAAACAACTGCTCTCTCCCCTCTACACGCCCACAACACAATCAAATAACAATCTAAAACATTATCTAAAACCATAAAACGAAAATCAAATCTCCAAAAGTATATCATTTCAATGAAGAAATATTGAGTAAAATATCTTGGATGATCAAATAATGCGAAAGTTACGCTAAGCTCAACCAGATATGACATGCGAGGTTTTCCTAACTTACGCGGACTTCACCAACAACCAAACAAGAAATAACATAACAAATAAGAGTACACCTTTAAAAATACCTGGGTTTTAGCTCCACAAATCAGATTGACAGCATCGGCCTGAGCTTGAAACCTCGAAGGAGCATAATCACCATTTCGCATCCATTCCGAATTATCAATGCATATCATTGTCGCCTGGGGAGAAAAACAAAAATGAACCATCGCACGAAAAAAAGCTAACGGAAATTTAAACCCTAATTTGCGAGATGGACGAAGAATTTGGGGAATTTCAGTAAGGAAAGCGAGGAAGTTTATGTGCAATTAGGGTCTGGATTTTTACCTCGAGCACCATAGTTGAAGATTGCGAAGAGACAAGAAAGATCGGGAGAGATTGATGTGCTTCGTGAGGAGAAAGAAAAATACAAAAACTGAGGTATACTTTACTTGCAGAGGAGGCTGCTGCTGTGTGCTAATTATAAGTTGGATTTGTGATCATCAGGTGCCGCCAGGGTACCGAGTAAAAGCTGTACCAAAAACTGAACCAATGATTTTTTGCCACGTCAGGTCTCAAACCTTGGTCTAGACCCAAAGGCCTATGATAGAGCCCAAGCCCATTTATGTCCAATCATGTACTTTGTTGGACCTATCAAAATACAAGCCAGGCTAATGTTGCAAGAGGGGTGGGGTTCTATTAACACCCAACAGTAGTCTTCAGACACCCAGTACTCTTTTTTTTTTTTTTTACTAATATTGTTTTGGTCCAGACGGAGACGGGATATGTTACCAAGCCCTTGAGAGCACTTACTCCCGAATTCGAGTTTCTAAGTTAAATCCCTCGTTTTTCAATATCGCTTATATTAAAAAAAATACATGTTATTACGAGGCTCATTCTAAAACTTTGTACTCGATGAAAGAGTGAATCAATGAATTTTGCACAAATTAAAGTTCATGTACGGCAGAGGAGCTATAAAATTCTTTGGTTATAATATGAAGCAAAAGGGTCACTAGCCAAATCAATCTAGGGAGAAATTATTAGTATAGTATAGAGGAGTAGGTACGTGTCGGGGTTGTATACAAGCCATGGATCTGAGTATGGGTAGGCATAATCTCACATGTGAAGAGTACCACAATAAGCTACAAGTTAAAAGTGAATGATTCACTACTAATTGCATCGAGACCTTATTAAGGGTATGCTTATGCATTTGATATTCGACATCTTCTAATCTTACTTAAAAGAACAACTAAGGGTACATTTATGCATGTGGTTTTCAACATCTTCTAATCTTAAAAGAACATCTTCTAATCTTCTCATCTTACTAACCATATGTATCATATAAAATAGTCGTTAAATGAAGATAACTAAGCTCAAAAGTGTATACAATCTAGTCTCTAGTGATATATGCTCCAAGAAAAGCTTATGATGGAAGGAGACACAATTCATATTTTACATCACTACTGTCATGATCGTCACTATGGTAATCAACCTTCTTGTCATCACTGCAACTGTCATAAACTGGACCAACACACAGCGGAAATTCCAACTTCTCATCTTCACCCTGCATCACATTGCCCTGCAGATGCCGGAAAGATATATTTTGTTTCTTGAAGGAGCTTCTCTCCCAAGAGTTTGACGAAAAGCTATCGATTTTGTGCATTTCATCCACTATAGAATCTGAGGATGTTGAGGTTCTCAAGAGTGCAGCAGTACTAGATGAAGTGCTTTGTTTGGCCTTCACCCTCCTCTTCCATACAGATAGCGATTTTCTCACATTTTCGGAAACTACAGATTTCTTGAACCTCGCTCCCATCTGCAGCCACATAAAACAATTAGAGACAAAGAGAGGGACTAAAGAGAGATGAAAATTAAGAAACCAGACCTGTGTGATGATGACATAGAGTGGGAATGTAATGAAGCTACACCAGAATTGGGTGACAACCCTGCAATTATATAAAAAATAAAAATAAAGTCATCAGATTTTTTATATCTTTGAATCGCACTTGACGTGAATGTAAGATAGCCAATAGACCTGACAAACTTAAGTTGCTAGAGAATAGACCAACAATGTAAGGTAAATACCCAAATGTCAAGCGAATCACAAGGAAAGTATTGTTGTCCATGAAGCATGAAGGTTCCTTAATTTCCCACTGAAAACAAAGAAGTTGAAACAAGCATCATAACTAAAGTTGCCTATTTAAAAAATGAGGTAGCTATTCTTTTATGCAGGCATCGATTTCTTTCTGAACAAGTCATGAAGTCCATACCAGAGACCAGATAAAATTTGCCATCTCAAGGGCATTCTGAAAAACAAATGCCAACAAAAGATAAGGACAGTTGAAAAACAGAATTTAAATTACAAAATGGATTGTTAGTGTTAGTGGTAGTGATTCTCACCTGGAAGGATATCAGTTGTATTAAACGTAAAAGAAGCCAGGGCTTCTTAAACCAAAAGAGCTCATCTCTTAGCTTAAACTGTTGATTTTCCATATATGGACTTTCTTCCGTGATTTCAACAGCCAAATTTACCACCACTCGATGCAGTTTCGTCCCGATAAGCAGGATCAACTGATGTGCAAGTCAAGAAATAATTTAATTATGTAGTGTGAGTGTGACTTCGAAAGATGATGAACTCGGAGAAGCTCAAGGAGATTGAGAACATGGATGGCTTACTATGGCTGGAAGGAAGGAAAGCCAGAAGTAAATGTGGCTTCCTGAATGGTAGAAACAACAATTGATGCTGTAAGATTAAATTTTCCAGGAATTTTCACGCATAAAATTAAAATTTTGGCACTAACAGAAAATTACCATGAAAGTCTAGAATAGTGCAACATATGGTGTATATCCAGAGAGGTAAACTGCAAAAGCATCCCAAATAATATAACAATGTTAATAATGTAAAAGCAATCCAAAAGTTCACTAAAGCCTCTAGGAATAAACTAGAAAGGTTCATCATAGAAATCAACTTTTTACACGTAACGTAATACCTGATGCCAACAATATCTCGAAATTCTTCCTCCATGCTCCGAATCATATAATTGTGGAAATCATATGACAAAGGAAGTTGATGAGTCTACATTAAGGAGGGGAAACACAGCAGAGTCAGCAATGCAAAGCTAGCCCCATGATCTTTACTGCCACATTCTTTTGCACTGTGAATGACTAAATAAGATGGAAACAAATAAGAACCTAATATGACTTACTTTTTGCAAACATATCTAATCATACAAAACTTAGAATCCAGATGTCACAGTAAAGCCAACTTTTCTACTATAATCGGACTCCGGAAAGAAAAATAAATAGTAGATCTCAGATCTCCTTGAAAAGTTAAAACGTCCAAAGAGAAAAAAAGAGGTACTAGAAGAAACATACAGTGATGAAGCCAAAGCGCAAAGCCATGTAATCAGACCGGTTTATAGAACTCCAGAACTGGCGGGTGAAACAAAGCTGCAAATTGGGGTGAACAAAGTTGACGGTAAATAAAACCATTACAGCAGATAAAGCAACTCTGAGAGATAAAAGTGCTGAGAAAGTGCAGCAAACATAGGACCAGCAAATTTTGTAAGAAGCTGAGCAGAATGACATCAATTGATTTGATTGTCTTAAGTCTAAATGAAGGGCTGGTTAGTTTTCATTTCAGCAATATTGTAGCATAGATAGCATCCAATATGCAACCTCAGGCCCTCTTATCTTCCCTTTCTTTCTGTAAATTTAGTTCTCCTCATAAATCATTACAACAAGAAGCACAAATTTTATTTTAGCAGGTGGAGTTAACCAGAAGAAGTTCAAGTTCTACATTGGCTTATTTCTCTGAATCAGATGTGATTAAATTATGCTGGTATCTGTTTAAGAAATAGTGGAAGTACATAATTTAGATTTCGAGCATACAATTATGGCCAAATAAAATAAAATAAAAAGGAAGTGAGAATACCAGCCAAACAAGAGCTCTGTGCTGGCTCCATGGATGGGATGCATGATGAAAAATGAAAGTAGACAATCTCCTTATTCTCTGAATACTTGGTTCAGCTAGTGGGGTATCTGGATACAGAAAATTTAAAAATGATAAGGCATGCATGACAACTACAATTTCTAAGGCATCTAAAGTCACTCATGAGTGACTCATACCAACAATTTTGCACCTTGTAAGGAGTGAATTGCCAAAGCTTTGGCTTCATTTTCCCATACTCTCCAGCTATAAATCTGCTTGAACTTGGAACAGGAACTTAGTTTTTTGTACATTGGACACCGCAGAGCATTAGAGAACTTTGATTGGGGACAAAATATATTTACCTTGATCATGGCCAGGACAATTGCAACAAAGCTGTAAGAAACATGTGTGACACCAAGCACAAACATCAAACGATGAAGCTGTTCGAGACTTTCTTTAGAAGCAAAGGATTCATGACCCTGATTAACATATTGTCTTTGTTAGTCGCACAGACTAACAAGCGATTGTTGTCACATGTGACAGAATCATACTTCTATCATCAAAATTTCCAAAGGAACGGAAATTTGTATTAGACAATCAAGTTTTATTATTGGCTTATGCATCAATAATAGCTAACATCTGATCTCTAAACATGAGCAAGCAAACTTACCTCAGGACAATAGTCATGAGAACCAGCCTTCACCTGCATCTTCGAAACCGACTTATTCAAATAATTTGAACTTGAAACCAGTACATGTTCAACTGAATGTAAGTCACTCTCCAATGCACATGGAAAGAATTTGCTGCTCAAGAGAGATGATTTAACACAAATCTTGGCCACAATAAATATCCAGTGACCCATCAACAATGACATAACCCCAAAAAGCATGAGCTCTGCTTGAAGAATATCAAAGACGAAAAAATGAAATCCTCTGAACAAAAGAACAAATGAAGCGAAAACATACATCTCCGGAAACCCAATCCCTTAATTAATTACCTTCTTTGATCTTATCCAAAGCAGCAAATAGAGACTTCCTTTTCGTCTTATCCAACCACTACCAAAAGAAGATGCATAAGATAAGAGGAAAGTTAATGACCACCAAAACAATATCAAACAATGAAGATTTGAAGATCAAAGTGGAGACACTGCTGATTGTAATGTGTACCTTTCCAAACCGTTCCAAAGATCCATTGAAAAAGAACCCAAAAACAACCATGAAAGTGATTACAGAAGCAACTGTCCATGTTGGGGTTTCAGCCAAGGATCTTCCTTCCCTCTCCTCCATTTCTCTGATACAAAAAACACAAGAAGCCCAGGACAAGTTCTAATTCTGATTTTCCTTTTGGCTAGTGGTTACAATGGTTGATTCTAAGGTAGAGCTAGCTCAGTGTAGGCCATTAATGGCTCCAAGTAGGTGGTGGGTTGCTGGTTTTGTGGGGGTTCTCTGTGCCTAAAACCGAGACTGTACCATCAGAAAAATTTAAGAAACATGCATGGATGTCACAAAGTCACAGACCCCTTCAGCACGATGACCCTAAAATGGGTCCCACCAAACTGACATCTCAATTTGCATGTTTTGCAGTTGTCTTTTGACCAGCAGCATCTCTGGGAATTTGAACGTGTCTCTGTCTTTCATGCCGACCGTTTCGTATGGCACATTTATTTATATAAATAGATTAAGATGTCACATTTATTTATATAAATAAAATAGATGTCACATTTATTTGTATAAATAAAATAGATGTCACATTTATTTATATAAAAAAATAAATAAATGAAGGAGACTTGTTATGACAAATTTGGGACCATAATTAGTTATCAACCATGGTGGTTGAGCAGTCTGCATATTGTTATGGAAGGCGATGTCATGGATTCTATAATTGAAGTCAAGGAGGCAGTGTAGGTTGAATAATCAATGAAACTATTAACTATCTGTTTGGCATTGCTTAGGGCCATAAGTGATTTTTTGAAATTTTTTGAAGTCCAATTATTGTGATCGATGGAATATATATGCGCAAAATGAATTTCAGTTTTGATGCAAGAAGTGCTTTATAATCAGTTTTTACTTAATTAAAAAAAATATGAAACTGCTTTGTATTTTTTTTTTATCTGTGTGGTTATGTTGGTTGAGTTTGAATTCATGCTGCATATAGCCTTTGTGCAATTTAATGTAAATATATGGCTGATATTGCTGTACTCAGAGGTCTTTAGGACTGTTTTCTATTGATTCTGTTCTAAGTGCCTAAGTGGGTTGAGTCTTGAGGGCTTTGTTTCATTTGTGTGACTGATCAAACTTTTGCAGCTAGCAGTGACTTGAAAAGAAAAAAAGGGCAAAGCTAAGTTTTTTATTTTTGTTTTGAACAAGTGGTAAAGAGAGAGCTTGTGAGCGTTAGAGAACTATTGTTACTAAATTTCTTCCAACATTTAAGCTCATGGTTACTTACTGAATATGCATTGTACTGATCCTGATATTCACTTGTTGTGCATCATATTATTTTTCCAATCAAATTGAAGCCGATATGACCAAAAAAAAAAATTTCAAATCAAATTGAAGCCGATTTTGGGGGAAATATAAAATTACTTGATGGCATGTTTACTAATCAGGAATTGGGATAAACATGAATAGCCTTCGGTCTGTGATGTCTTCCCTCAAGTTGCAATACTGGATTCTGCCTGGAGAAAGAAATAGCATGTGAAGCTTAAGACACCGGTGTGGTGCCGGCCGAAGATCATCCGATGCCAAAGTTAGTGACTAAGAGCAATTCTATTGACGGTGTAAAAGCACAAGTCAAGTAAACAGTCTTATCTTTTGGCTGTGCCAAAGGGCTCTATTTATATAGAGTATTTGTGATGCTCTTAGTACTTAGTTTCGATGTGGGACTCGTGGGAGTGTCTTCGGCGGTCGACACGTGCTCTGACAAGTTCTGGTGGGAGTTCCGAGGTGATCTGTCAGAATCTGCCGGATGTGCTGACTAGTCGCTTAGCATTGTGTATCGAAGGTTGGTGTGGGTGCCAGTTGTAGGTGCTTTGCCGTTTTAACCGTATGCGAATCGGTGGAGTATGCCGATCGACCTTCCGGCATGACTCCTTGAGCTAGTCTGGGCCTTGTTTACATTCCACGTGTCAAGACGTGAGTAGAGGGTCAGATATGGTACAAACAAAAGTCATGATTACATGTGGACCTTGCATCACTTTTCATTCCCAACATGCAAGTAAACAAATGAGTGATCATGAATGGGAATGAATCCCATTCATCTCATTCCCTTTCCAAATGAGTAAATATGCCCAGATTGTGTACTTCTAGTTAATGTTAGATATGTCTCTGTCCCTACCTCTTTCTTAGTTTCATATTATAATGTGTAAATTTGATCTATCTCAAGTTGTGATTACAAACATAAAAATAGATAGTAATCTTTCCTAATTGGTATTCATTAAAGGGTACTTGCTTGGTACATGTGGAAACTTGTTTGTGCATTTCTATTTAATGTTACATTTGTTTTGCTTGTTGGTCATTCCATTGTTAAAATAAAAAAAGATGTTCATTCTAGAATTTTCAAAATGCGGACACTGTTTTGGGAACTTTTATTGTTGGAATACAATTACTTGTCAATTTATGCTTCTTATTCGAATGCTTAGTTAGATATGACATTGTTGTGCCCTTTATTATTTATTCTTCCAAAAAAAAAAAAAAAAAAAGGAAGATTGATTATTTTCTTGTATGCCAAAAGTTTCTAAATGGTCTATTTTTTGTACTAACTTTAATGATTCACACCAAAAGCAAAAACCTTTTATGATTATTCCCTAATGAAATAAATTTAGACTTTATTATAGTTTATGGCAAGATTTCTTTTGACAATGTGCTTTACACAATTTTTACTTTAATTATGTGATAGGGTCTGTTTCTTGAATAATTGAAGATTGTGATTCTAAAAATTTCTGCATATTTCATAGTATGAAAATTTCCTCTTTAATTTTTATCAACAAAGCTGTATTCATAGTTCTACTAGCATACAACAAGGAATATCATTTACACAGTACCGTTGAATACTGCAATGAACTAATGTTAGAATATATATATATATATTTGTTTGTTAGTTCTATGTCCCTTAATTTTATCTTTTTGCTAGTTTAAACCATTGATGAAGATGTTACTTTATAATTATACAACAACATATTAGAACATAACCTATCCTATTAGCCTTGTTTTCTAATCCATGGTTTTTACAGTGTGACTTTCTAATCCTTTAATCGGATTGTATGCAGTCAGTTAAATGTTACATATCCTTGCATTTGAGATGGATGAACATCCATGCAATGTTCAGATTAGATAAACATCTAAAGGTGAAAGATACCATATTCCTTATTTTCGTATGGTTGTTCAACCGATGGGTCATAAAGAGATATTCAATCAAGCTTTCCTTAGAAGTGTTATTGAACGCACTTTTGGAGTATGGAAACAAAGATGGAATATTTTACGAGAAATGCCTAGTTATCCTTTTGCAAAATAAGTAAAAATAGTTATTGCAACCATGACACTTCATAACTACACAAGAAGACATGTCAAACGTGATTGTCATTTTGATGAAAGTGAAGATGACCTAAATGGTATTCAAGGTGAAAAGATTGAGAGAGAGGTTGATGCATAACAAGAAGATAGTCCTGTAACACAAGAAATGAAGACATTGAGAGTCGCAAGTTTAATGAGTTCATCTACTTAGAAATGTATATGATTGCTTGTTTAATTTTTGTTATGACCATATTATTGATAATATATTTATTTTTAATGGAATACTTATATTATTTTATAATTAAAATATTTTTGAGGGTGTGATGGAAACATATTTAATACAAAAAAAATTATATGAAATAAAATGAAAGTGCTTTTCCTTTTACCAAACACTTAAATAGAAAAGTCATTTCAACATAATGCCATCTTTAGTCATTATATACAGCTCATAGCACTTTCACAAAAAAATTACCAAACACTTAGAAACTGATTATTGTACAAACAACACTTGTAACAAAAAAAAATTATTAAACGCCAAACTACTTTCTCTCACAGTTGATATCTCTCACAATAAATATGTCAGCGATTATTTTCACACTGCAGCAATGCCAAATTGACCCTAAAAGTGACCAAAACTTGCAGGGATCCATGTGAATTTAATTAGAAATACATATGAGATGGTATTTCAAAACCATTAGCTGTTGGAGTTTGAAGAATGTTTGCATACGTGTCCAACTTAGATAATTGGTTTTAACATTTTAAATGTTTGGTCATTTTATTTCTTTTTTCCTTTTGATGATAAATAAATTCAAATTATTTGGGTTTAATGTTTCCATCTCCAGATATTAGACTAATATTTAGTTGGTTTGAGCCATTAGATTAAGGGTAAATTACTCAAATGATCCTCAAACTTATACCTGAATTATATTTTGGTCCATAAACTAAATTATTCGTTCAAATGGTCCATCAAATGTTCCTACCGTCTAATTTTCTGTTAGATTTAACCTAATTTTGTGGTAAATAATAACCAATTTGCCCTCATATTTAACGGAAATATTGATAGAATGTAACGGTAAGACCAATGGAGCGAATAATATATAGTTGATAGACCATTTGAACAAATAATTTAATTGAGTGACCAAAATATAAATCGAGTATCAATTTAAGGACTATTTGAGTAATTTACCCTTAGACTAATATTTGGTTGGTTCGAGACGAGAGTCGTACTCTTACTGATATACACTTGTATGGAAGTTTTCTTTGTTCTTTATAGAAATGATGGGAAACCCATCTTGTGAGGTAGGGATTTACTCTTTTTCACTGGACTAGAACTCATTTGCAATAGAGGTAATATTTAAGTAATCATAACAACGACATAATTCCCCTTCTTTATGATAAATTCATCTTAGACGTTCATCAAGGTACATAATTTGATTTCTAATCAAAGTATATACTATTATATACATAGAACATCTTCTTCCGCTCCCTTTGACCTTGTGCACTCTGATATTTGGGGTAAAGCTCCAATTTCCTCCATGGGAGGTGCTTTATATTATGTTTTATTTGTAGATGATTACTCTCGCTACACCTGGACATATTTATTACGTTCTCGTTCAGATTTTCTTAACTATGGAAGAGAAGACTAGGTAAAAAATTAGAGCTCATCTTCTGCCTTCTTTCGTTGGTCAACTTCTTGATTTTTTTTGCCAGCATCCTCTGGCTTAGTAACAGGAAAATGATGCTCTAACCAAGCACGATAGCCTCCTCCCATGTTGTTCACTTGCTTGAAACCCTGTCATTTCATTTACAGCTTCTAAAAACTAGAGGAAAAGGAAAGAACATAAATGATCATAGCAAAATATTTATAGGCTGTTTTGAATTTTGATTGCTTTCTTCAACATGGCATGAAAAAGAGCAAGAACTTGTAAATTTGGGTGAAATACAAGTGTACTTACAGCAGTCCGAAGATCAGCAGTTGCAGAAAGAGATCGGACCCCACTTTGACAACCCTGTAAATATATAATCTCACAGTCAGACACCAGAAGAAATTGATGTAGTTTGCTCCAAAAGCTACTAGCTTACCACAACAAGAAGGTCCTCTTTGTTGCAAGCAGATGAAACCTCCCGCAAAAATTGGGGATTTTTTACCCTCCCTGAAGGCCAAAACCACAATGAAATTTCATCAATTTCAAAGTAAACACAGAAATTGAAACTTAGTTAAAAAAAAAAAAACAAAAGAAGCTAATCTACTAATAAAAGTTACAGCCACCTTCAGGTGTATTGAACAGGTAAGGTATGTTTAAAATCTTCCCTGTATCCACATGCCCTTTCTTGTACTCCTCCACCGTCCTATCACAAACAACATTAACTCAACTAATATTTCCTTTTAATGAAAAAGAAACCCGATTGGAAGTTTGAAACAACTCAGTCTCTCATAAAGTTCATTAATTTGAGGAAAAAAAATAATAATATTTTTTTTTTGGGGGAAAAGAGAGCCCTTTACCTGACATCCACATAACCATAGCCAGACTTGAGCAGATCCTTGGCAGCTTGAACATCAATGGTGACGACCTCTGATCCCGAGCTACAAAATAACAGGGGAAACAGAGCAACAAACCCACAAGACAACCCAAACCAAGAAAAACCCATATCAGAACGTGCAAAAAGGAACTCCACGAAAGTAATATGCTGAAGATTTAGACTGAAAAAAGTCACCTTTCAATAGAACCCATGAAGAAAAGTTGGTGGTATATATAGAGCAGCTTGGTTTCTAAGATCTGGTAGCTGTTCGCGTGGTCAGCCTGGAAAACTAGCTGAAGGAAGATAGAAAACGTGGGCTGAGGATTACTGCTGGTGTAGCTGTTTGTGTCGACTGTTTTTTTTTTGGTTCGAATGTGTCGACTGGTTTAGTGGTTCATTTTCTGTGGGAAAGAGAGCCTTATATATATGGAGCTAAAGCCACGTACGGTTCCAGTCATCCGGGGCCACATAACGTCGTGCCACCTAAGGGTGAGAACCCAACTTTGATGTGAAGGAAAACAAAATCGAATACTTTTTTAGCATCCATTTATTCGTAGATTGTAGCGTGTGGTGGCAATTTTGCATCTCAGTTATCTCATGGAATTTTTTTAATGTTGTTTTAGTTAGAGACTTGTGAAGATTTATCTTGCAATTTGGTTATATACAGATACGAAGTGACATTATTGGGGACCTAATGAAATTTTATACAATTCGCATAATCTTGATGTGGTAGATGAAGAAAGCTTTGGGGCGAATCAAGTAGGGAACACACTCATTTGAACGAGGATAATGCTAATGAAATTAGTGATGCTAGATATTATATAGCCAGAGTTATTTAGGATCATTAGTCTTAGAATTTATTTAATCTAAAATATTTTAATTTAATATGTATTATTTAAGACTTGAAGATCAATTTAGCTTAACGATCATATATGTATGGTATTAAAATGCAGATTTTAAAATTAGTATGTTTAATATAATTTCAATAGTTTTTATCAATCGTATAAAATATAAAAAAATGTTTATCAATACTTTAATTCAACAAAAATGAAAAAAAAATTTCAAGAATTCAACCGAACAAGTTTTCAAATTTTAAAGATTAAAAACAGTTTTCAAGTTGTATAACAAACAAGTTTTTGAATCTTAAAAAATGAATTTGAGAATTCCTTGTTTTTTAAAATAATCAAAGTTTTTGAATTCCCTATTTGGATAGGATACTAAACACCTCCTTAATTGCTTAAATCACAATTGTTATTGCTCAAGAAATCAATCCTATCAAATCCTAAAGAAAAAGGGGGTTTGGGTAGTAAGATTAAATTAACAAGTTAATTATTGGAGGTTTGCTATTTATGTGACAATTAATTTTGTTTTGATTTCTGGAATGTTGGAATTCTTAGGGGTAATTTTCTTTGTTTTCAATTTTTTTTAATATAAAAAGTGGGGTTCTGTTGTCAATAGGGAGGGAGATTCGGGTTTCAGAATTCGAATTTGAGATCTCCTCTAATATTGGAAAAATAAATATTACTATGTGAAAAGCTAGTTAGTCTTAAAGAAAAAGAGTTTAGCTTCACTAGAAGATTTTAGTTAACCTTTGTAGTTAATTTGTCTGCCCATGATTTAAACAATACATAAAAATTTCTAGAGTATTTTATATGAAACGAAATAAAACTGCATAAATTTTAAATAATTCGTTATACATAGTTATGTGTAGCATATTTATATTTATAGCCAATGGGGTCCAGTTCAGGTTCGAGTCCCCATAAGATCATAGTTGTGTATGTGTAAGAAAAATCCCACTACCGGGTAAATTGGACTATTACTTATACTTGTAGGAAAATATCTAACATATTTATATGGTTCTTCCAACGAACTTGCCGGAGAATCTTAATATTCTATTTTCACTTTATTCGCAGCACTTTAATAATGGATTTGGCCTTTGTGGAAGCCACAACCAAATCCACTAACGCATCCCTTGATAGGGCAAATTGCTCCTATGCCGAAATTATTGTTGTAACCAAACTCTTGGACCACATGCTTGTATTGAATCGAAGCCGACTAACATACTAGATACATTTAGACCTAAAATATACAACAGTGCAAATCCTAGTGTGCAAACTATTCAAGAGCAGAGCTGTTAGCAATGGGTTCCCTTGCTGCTTTGGCAGTGGCTGGGGCAAAACTACACTCGAGCTTCAGACAATATACAGGGGCACAAAACTTTGTCCCCGTTGGCTAGCTTGTAGATCACATCAAGGATTTTGCACAGGATAGAGCACTGATGACCTTTACATTCGTGTTGCATCGGACAAGTTTTCACGGAAATTTTGAACAGCAAACTTTATTGATACGTTCATAAAAATGCAGACAAATATCATCTAGACGTCTCTTCAATCCATGCAATGAAACGCGCATTCGAGTGAAGTTCATATAGACACACACAATAAACGGGAGGGAACCCTGACAAGGATAAAACAAGGTTGGATGTAACAATGCTGTTAATGACAGAACAACCTTGGGGAGGATTCAGACTAGCAAGTATTTGAAAATCCAAAGAATTTCTTTCACTTTTATACTTTAAAATGATATAGATTTGTAAAATGATTTCACTTTTGAGGGAAAACTACATTCAAAATTCAAGACAATTAATCTCCATACCTTGACAGGTCATATTTTCCATTCACTAGCTGTACAACCAGGTCCTTCTTTTGATCTGCAAGAAGAAAATAACCAAACTTCAGTCAATAAACCACATCAGGTATTGGCCAATAAAAACCATACATAGGTTAATAACTTATCCTCAAACCCATAGACCAGGATGTCTTTCCTCACCAAAGAAAATTACTACTAAATTAGCCAAATATCAAACTAAGGACTGCAATTTCAATAATAATAGTAACTCCGCAGCCTGAACTATTCAAGAAACTAAAGAAGATTCAGCCATCAAACACTAGATAGTGAGGATGGACCAAATTCTCTTACCTCGGGATTCACAATTTTGGTTCTTATATCATGCTTGCACACGGGGCAGAATGTTCCCCATTTTGTCAGCCATGAATCCACACAGCTTGAATGAAATTCTGCAAGTAGTTCTCAGGTTTATTAACAGAAATATACAAATTTCGATTGAGAAGGTGAGGAAGTAAATGCTAACTACAATCCACCTTTTGAGTAAGGTCAAAGTCAATTACCTACTATGATGATAGGCATGTCCCTAACCCTATAACCAACATTAGAATTTGACAACATTTGAACAATCAAACCATTAAGATAATACTTCTAGTTATCTGTACTTTTTATTGGACATGGGGAGAAATAGAATAGCTGCTTCTTTGAGTTCTTTCTTCTTGGATTGGAAGCAACGCAATACTCTAATATTTGTCATGAGAATTACAGTTGCACATGTCCACAATGTGCAAGAGCATATTATAATACCTCAAGTTCTTCTACAATGTAATTTATGAACAGGTGGAAGTCTTCTGAGATATCATGACACATCAAGGTAAGCTGTTATCTTATGGGACTTTCCTAATATGCAGACGCTAACATACACTACACTGTCAACAGCTTTGCGGCTTGATGAGACTGATACTACAACTGTGATGAAAATTCCAGGGATATCAACATGAACATCTCAAAACTTACCATGTTGGCAGGGAAGAACTTTAAGAATTTCCTCATCTTTGTAATTCTCAAGGCAGATGGCACAAGTATCTTCACTGTGGCATTCACCCAAACTAGTGGAACTGAATGTGAAGCAAGGTAGAGCTTCCACAATCTTGGTATCCACACTTTTAGGAAGCTGGTTTCTTCCTTGAGAATAAAGCCAGTGTCTCGGAGCAAAGATGGCTATTATAAGTATACCCAATATGACAAGAAATGAGATAAAAGATATAGCTAGAACTGTCCAAGCTGTTTCATTTTGAAATGGGAAGATGCAGCATTCCCCTTCTTCCCCTAAAGCATGCTCCTTTAACACTTCACCAGATGCTTTCGAAACAAATACAGCATGAATTGTAATATTTACACTCTCTATCATCACTGCAAATAGAGGACAGCAATCATTATAAATTTATAACAGTTAAACATTTATCCACATTTCATAGAAGGCAAAGGGTAACATGTACGAAATGATATACGGATTCCAATACAATCTTTAAATAATAAGAACAACCCAATAAATATGAAAACACATTACAAAAATTTGAAGGGACATGGCGACTCACTGTAGACCAATTTGCCTTTATCTCTATCGTCATAAACAATAGCACCACGAAATCCGGCATTTTGAGCATTTTGGACTTTATCCTTGAAAGCACATTCACCTCTAACTATCAGAGCAAACCTTGTTTTATCAGTTTCGTTTGGTCGAAGTCCATTGCGTAGAGATGAGCAGGCGTCCAAAGGGTCTGATATAAGCAAAGCTCCACATATACCAGAGCTATTGACAGCAATAGCTATTAAACAAAAAATCAAGAGCAAAAATAGAAAGAAAGAAAAAAAAAGAATAATTGTGTTCAGATCTCAATGCTTAGCATAAGTATTTAATAAAACAACCGAAAAATTAGAAATTTGTACTATAAAATCTAAAGCTGACTTCAACCCAAGAAAGAAAAAAAGGAAAATCAGATTATTTTTCCTACATTTTCTCCGCAAGCAAATGGCGAAAGATGGAAAGTTACCAAACTTGGCGGGAAGGTCCGAGAACTCCCTGGCAAATGGTTTGAGAACGACAATAGCTGAGGTTAGTTGGACAAGGTGAGCAAAAACAAGCAAACATAATCCCAGAAAAGCTTGCCTCATCTTTCTCTTTCACAGCTCCAATTACCTGAAATACAAAATCACAAAAACAAAAAAACAAGTTTATTGGGTTTAGACGCTTGAATTTCTGTGAAATTTAACAAATCAACGATCAACAATTCGAATAAACCGAAAATTTGAAAGCAGAAAATAAACATACCGATACAGTGAGGTTTTAAGAAAACTGAGACGGAAAACCCCACGCAAATGAGAAATTGCAGTGTCAACTGCTCGACAGCATTTCACTATTTTTTACTTGTATTTTTTATATTCTGTATTGTTGAGCCAGACGGTGCCGTTTCGGCTAACCTAAATAAAGCGCGGTCTTTTTATCAGCAACCATTGGGCTAAGCCGTCAAAGTTAAAAAAAGCTTCGGTTTTTAAACTCTCGGATTGATTTCAGTCGAGTCCCTGAGAAAAGCTTGAGCCTGCGAGTTTCATGGAAGAAGAAACTTCGAAAGCAGCGTTGCCAGATGGCTTCCTCGATTTTCTGAAAGAGAATGGTTTAGACCCTTCCATTTATGCCGAGAGCCATTCGACCCCTCGTTACATAAGGTGCTCTCTCTGAATTTATACTTACTTTTCTGTTTTTGATTGTGCTTTTGTTATTGAAGAGTTCGATTTTGATGGGTTTTTTTTTTTTCCTTTTGGGTTTTTGCTGCTCTGTTTTTGGTGTAACCGAAAGGCTAAAGCCTGGTTGCGAAGCTCAAATTGAAGAAATTGAAGGTGAAATCAAGTGCAAGCTTGAAAAAGTGGATTGGCTGCCTGGCTTTTATGCTCTTCCTCCCGACGTTCAAATCGCTAACTCAAATGCATACAGAGAAGGGAAGGTGAGCGAAAAGATCAAGCAGTTGCTTTCTTTAATTTTTAAGCAAGAAATCCCAAATTCTAATTGCAATGTTTTACTTTTGCGTTTGTTTTTATGGTTTAGATGTATGGAATCGATGCGGCGTCTGGAGCTGCTGTTTCAGCATTGAATATCTCAGCTGGAGATCATGTTCTTGATCTTTGTGCTGCTCCTGGTAAGTTAGTTTCTGGTTTCTGTACGCAATGAGTAAACTTTAATGTGTATAAGTGTGTAAGTTTATCAGATTTTTTGCGCCAGTTCAGCAATATATGTTGCGTAATGAGAAAAAGCTACTAATTTGTGTGCTGTTATGCTTAACTAATTATGCTCTTAAATTTTAAAGCATGAACTATAGGAGTGGCTGCAAAATTGCAAAAAAAAAAAAACACTTAATTTTAGAAATTTAAACTTGAAACGTTTAGAATTTATAAAATAGCCAGAAAAATGAAGATGTAATTCACAGCATTCGTGTGAGAGTTTATGTGATTCAGTTACACTGATTATTTTTGTTTCCGAAGAATTGCTCACTTTTATCGTGTATAATTTATATCCAGGTGCTAAGCTTTGTCTGATATTGGACATTCTTGGTGATTCTGGTTCTGTAACTGGTGTTGATGTTTCAAGCCATCGTTTAGCGGCTTGTAGGACAATGTTGCAGAAATATGCATTGGGTAATCACTGCCGACTATTTGTTGCTGATGGGACAACCTTTTCCCTCTTGCCCTTGAGAATTCATTCCGATCCAAAATCATGTAACTGATCTGAATCCACATATACCAGAAGCTTCATATGTGATACTGTGAAATCCTTCAGAGTGCAGTTTGCAAGCATATGCTGTTTTTAATATGTTATCATTCTATCTAGAATTATGCAGGTGAATCTGCTTTGGAAGAAAATGTGACATTCAAGGAGTGGACATCTCGGAGACCATGGAAAGAAAGGAAAAAAGCAGCTAGGGTAAGAAAAAGTGGTGCTGTGCATTCAGGAAATCAACTTCCAGAGCTCATTTATTATGGTCGCCACTCTGGTGTGGTTGGACTGAATAAAAGTGAATTGTACCAAACATTTCGTGACAGTGAGCTTATGAGCTGTGGCTATGACAAGGTGAAACTGGATTTTGATTCTTCGTTTAACCTGCGTTTTCAAATCGCCTTCACCTTTTTCTATTTCCCTACTTTTTTGACAAGTAATAACACCTTTTTAGTATCAGTTATGTTACCTCTTTGTAGTTTAACATCTTTTCTAGGTTGGTTGGATTTTTCTAAGCTGGCTATCTTATTTCAGGTCCTAGTGGATGCAGAATGCACTCATGATGGATCAATTAAACATGTCCAAAAGTTTGAACATTGGGGATGGGAAACTCTTCAACGACGTGTATTGGATGCAGAGAGAAGTGATAGCCTCACTGTGCTTCAGGTATCTGATTTAATTTCGCCTAGATGTATTTGTCAACCATGCTACTTTGTTTATGTCGAAGTTCCAATTGATGGAGGAAACAACAATTGCATATCCATCCAATGGAGTTTCTTACATTTTCTCATAAGATTGTGTAAGACTAAATAATTCAGTTTACTTCCTATATAACAAGTCAGAAGCTAAAGCTATTTGAAAGTTTTACGTCCTATAGATATCCTAATCTGCTAATATAATTTCTCATATGCATTTCGTGGCAGAATTCTTGCTTTCTTATTCATGTCCTGTTTGACTGGCGTGCGTGCTTAGTAAAGTGATGATCATATGTGTCTTTTGCTTGCAGTTAAAGCTCCTAACCAATGGTTTTAGATTGCTAAAAGCTGGGGGACTTCTTGTTTATAGCACTTGCAGGTGCTTTTCGTTGGCTGTTCCTTGAACTTTTGGTAACTTACACATAAAGCATATCTGCCTATATTGCTAATTTTTCTTTTCCTATTGATTAGCTTGACAGTTGCTCAGAATGAAGATGTCGTAAAGCAGTTTCTTGAGGAAAATCCGCTTGCTGGTAAAGTCTTTTGTGCTTTGTGATATTATCAGCGATGGTCTCAAGCATTTTACAGCCTGCAACTTATGTTAGTGTAGTTACAAACTTACGAGCTATATACAATGACGTCTCATATTACCTGTTGACTCATTGAAGCCTTCATGTTCCGCAGAGTTGCAGGCGATAGATGGTGCTGAAAATTGGCCAAGCAAGAACGGACAACTACCAAATACCCTGCGCTTTGATCCCTTGACTTCAAAAACTAGTGGACTTTTTGTTGCAAAGATCTCAAAATTGGCCATTTAATCTGGTTTTAGATGTTCAAGAGCCCGAGTAATAGTCCATGTCAATGTCAAGTGGCATGGGGGCTTAGACATCTTTGATGGCACTTTGGGCGTTATTTTTGTGATGGAACATAGTTGTACCTCATTTACTCTTTTTATATTCTTTTAATGATACAAGTAATAGTTTAAATAATAATTCAATTTATTTGAGGGAATTCGAATTTGGATTCAAGATAGCGGATTCAGCGCCCTACCAAACTAGTCTAACTTACGTCTACCACATGAAAACGAAAACTAAAATGGCTTACTGGTTAGCCCCACCCAATGCATTGGAAATTCAATTTGAGATGCCAATATACGTGACCGCGTTTAAAGGATTCCAAAATATCCATCTTTAGACTGTTGGATTGTGCAAAACTAAATCAGATTCTTGTTCAAATAATTTTCTAACCTTGAAATTGGATTTTATTTCCCAATAATCGCACGTGTGTTTGTGGAGCCTGAATCTGAAATGCATGTCGCCTGAAATCAGTACAGATTCAGTGACGACATAACAACCATTTGAATTATTAGCAAACCTCCAAACTTTTAACAGTCACCCCTGACATCTCTTGATTAAATTGTCTTAAACAAATACTAGACGAACTTTTCAACTCCGAATTTTAATTTAATTAATTAGACACCAGGCAGGCACACACAGGCCATGATCGACGCCTGGAGAAAGCAACAAGATGACCAGCGAACACGAAATCTCATCTCCTCTGAGTAACTACTAACTTCACATTTTTCTTTTTCGCTTCCATTTATCCATCTCCTAAATAATTTTCCCTCCATTTTTCTAACTACCAACTGCTTTACAGTTCACAGCAACAAGATCGATGGCTCCGCTTCACGACGGCCGCCGGCGGATGAGATTTCTGGCCACGAGAACTCTCCGATCGAGCAAGTCGCCCTCACGGTTCCGGTCACCGACGATCCCTCTCTCCCGACCGTCACTTTCCGGACTTGGACGCTTGGAGCCCTCGCGTGCGTTCTACTTTCATTCCTCAACCAGTTCTTCTGGTACCGCCGGGAGCCTCTCTCCCTCACCTCGATCTCGGCTCAGATCGCGGTGGTCCCGCTCGGCCGCCTCATGGCATCGCTGATTACGAAACGCGTCTTCTTCAAGGGGCAAAAATGGGAATTCACGCTCAACCCGGGCCCCTTCAATGTCAAGGAGCACGTGCTCATCACCATTTTCGCCAACTCCGGGGCTGGCAACGTCTACGCCATTCATATAGTGAGCACTGTAAAGCTTTTTTACAAGAAGAACCTGTCGTTTTTTGTTGCGCTGCTTGTCGTTTTGACTACCCAGGTGCTCGGGTTCGGCTGGGCCGGGTTGTTCCGCCGTTACTTGGTTGAGCCCGCCGCTATGTGGTGGCCTCAAAACCTCGTTCAGGTCTCGCTATTCAGGTGACGTCCTTTTTTATCTTCCTTTTGCCACGTGTTGTTCTGTTAGTGAACATTTAGTTATCGTTCTGTGCACGTTCGTTGACTATTCAATGGTCTAAACTAAAGCAGGTGCTCACTCCTTATACTGTCTGTGGGCCTAGCCATGGGTCTGAGCCTGGGGCTGGGCCTGAGAGGCCTTGTGCATAGGATCCGTTTTGAGCCCATTAAATTACCTGTCAAAATAAATAATATATACTTTTTGTAATTTATAGGTAGGGGAGAATTGAACTTAGGATCTCTCTTAACATTTGGAAGTAAAAATACTACTAAATCAATCATAACAAAGCCTCTAGATATGTAAATGAGTTCGTCTAATCATCATTGTATCATTATATGATGTGACATATATTTACAGTCCTTATCTATATATATAAAGCAAAAGCCAGAGAATGGTGAAACATTCAAAATACCAAAAAATACTCTTGGTTAATGTAGACATTAAGAATTGAAATTATTAATTAAATGAAGATAATATAGTAAATTCATATTTTTTAATGTTAAAAAAAATTTAAAATTAAAAACAAAATCAGATAATAGGTCTTACTTTTATAGAATATAACTACCCATGTTATCTTTGCTTAATTTTAAAAATAAAATAAAAAAGTTGAAATTATTAATTAAATGAAGATAATATAGTAAATTCATATTTTTTAATGTTAAAAAA